AATACTTGAACTGTCTCTCTCTCCCGCGCACAGACGAGCTTTCGATTAAATATAATTATCCCGACGGAGCTCGTTTTGCTTCCGGTTAGAAAAGAAGATTGCTCGGATAAAAGATTAAGTCGTTTTCCCAACCGGCCGTTAAATCGCCGCTAATCGCTGTTCCAGCACACTGACGTCTGACCGACCGACCTTTTTCTGTTTCAGGCCAAGTTGTTGGAGTCGTCCCACGCTTGGCTCGGCGCCTCCACCTCCAGTATAGCAGGTGAGTCCCGTTTTCGTTTTTCTCCTCTTCGTCTCGTTTCGATACGTTTCAGGAGATAATCGCCCTCTCGACACCGGCCCCCCGGCCGGACGTAAACGTGGAAGCCTCCACGTTAGGCAAACGCACACACACGCGCGAAACAACGTCTGGTCGCCTATTCTCTATGCACAGGGTGTCCTCGTACTTTTCTTTATCGATAGATCTACCGAAATTGAAATTAACATCGTAAAAATACAATCATAATTATAATTATCCGGGATATATCGTTTGTAAATGTTAGCTTGAATATCCAAGAAAGTCGATTATTTTATAAAAAAAGCTTGAAAAACGCTAATATAAGTCACAAAACGCGCAATGTATGATCGCTTTCTTTTTTTACTACTGCCGCATATGCTTTTTCACTTTTAATTTCAATCGTTCACGCGGGGTCTGTCGTAGAAGAAAAGTACGATTGGTTGGAGACACCCCGTATAGCCTGTTTCGCGACATGTTTAAAGACTTCACGTTCCTCTCCTACAATATCTGTCGCATCATCCGCAGCTTTATACCCGTCGCATTCGAATTCCGACGATCGGTTTCCGTAGTAAGTAGCGGCGCAACGACCGATCATCCCTTCCGAGTTCGAGTGGAGATTCCCTACCCTCGAGCGGCCCCTCGAGGGACCGCTCGTCCGATCCGCTTCGCGCTCCATTTTCAAGTTCACGGTCACGTTGTTCCGGTTGTTGAATCATCAGTTTCGTACGTGACGAGTCTCTCGTCCTAGAAACGACTCGGTCTCGTCGCCCGTCTGCGTGCCTCGACCTCCGAGTCTTCGGGGGATGAGACATCTGTCGCTATTCGTAGATCGATATCTCATTGCTGCTTACCTTCCTTTCTCTCTCCCTTTCTAAATGTTTCCTCGCGCGGACGATAAGGTTCCCGGAAGCACGGCCGTCGTCGTCGTCGTCGTCGTTGTCGACGACGTCGTTGACGATCACGGAAGGTGGCAAACACAAGGGAGCACGGAGAGAGGTCGCGATGCGGAGTCGAAGGTGGTGGCCGAACAGCAATAAACGATAGAGGGAGGAACGTGAGCGCGGGCCCGGCAATAATAAAGCGCGGGAATGCATTTTGCTTTAATATAGAAAGCAATTTAGATAGACGATTGGATGGTGGACGACGGTTAATAGCGGCGATAACACGCCCGCGATTCGCAAGCGGGAAGCTTGACGTGTAACTCTTACGCACCATCGATCGCGGACTCTGCCCCCTTCGAATTCTAAGTTCCCTATTCCTTTGGATACCGCATCAAAAGCGAGGACCCTTCGATCTTTTACCGGTACTTTATACCGCGAGCGAAAGGACAAAATTAAACAACAGGTGCAATAAAATATCCGTACTCTCAAGTTGGCGGTTGAGAAGTTATTTGAGGTTTCGCATAATTGTATATGTTTTTGTTCTGTGGCATAGCGCTCGAAGTCGCGAATAGAAGTGCATGTAATTTTCGTGTGTTATGAAACTTGGTGAAAATTCGCGGATTCGGTTTCGAGAGAAAAAAAAAGAGAACATGTGTGTGGTCTTTTATATTCTTAGCCAACACGCCCATCTCTCTCTATCTAACGTAACGGAATTCGCATATGGAGACTCTAATAGCTATAGTCGCTGCAAAGGCGTGTCAAATAATTCTCTCAGCCGTACTCGTTCGTCTCCGAGCCCTGATTTGTCGCAGTATACGTATACGCTCGAACGTAAACGCGCATAAACGTGCATAAACGTCGCAATATGCGTCTCGAATTGATCCCCGGTATCGTGCGTGCGTGCATGCGTGCGAACGTGCGTGCGTGCATACGTGCGTGTTCAAGCGTATGCCGAATGCGTGCGTAGGCGCGTATCCCCCTCTCGGTTCGCTTAAATCATTTTCTTCGATTACTCCTTGACTTCCCATGAGACGCGGTCGCCGCCGCCGGCTGTTTGCTTCTCTTAACGATCACGCTTATTTATTCCGCGCTTTTCTCGTCCGCGACGAGAGCGTTTCTCGAAGCGAACATCGAGCCTCCACCTTTGCTCCGCGCTTGCTCGCCTCGGAGAAATTAGTAATTCAGAATCTCGGAGATTAAAGAACCTCGCTCGATACAATTTTCCCGTTGACAATATCGATTTCGGGGTCGGCGAGGGACTTACGGTTGAGGGAAAGCGCGCTATTTCTGAAAAATGCGTCCCAGACATATTTAATCTTAAAAGTTGTCGGAAGAATTTTCATTAATTTAGAAGAGAGAGCCTTGTGCTTTCGACGAGAGTGAATTACAGGATATACGTCGCTGTAAACTGAAACGATTAAGAATTTCTCCCGATACCTACGTCCCGATGAGGCGACTCGGTAATCAGATTAATATTTAAATCCGCACGCGCCTTCTGAGAACGCAATTGCCTAAGCGCGATTGTTCACCGAACGAACGACGATTTGCCAATCCGAGAGAAAATGCCCCGCGCAAAACTACAGGTTGCACGTGCGCGCGCGCGCGCGACAAAACGCGCTATTGTATGATAATATTATTCAACGCGATTATTTCCAGCCCGGATTTAGCCACGACGCCATTACACGCGATACGTGACAATTTTTTTCCTTTCTTTTTTTTCGGTTCACTGACGATCGTTCCCACCAGTCGCCGGACGATCGATTCGCGCGCGAAACGAGATTATTCGTATTTCAATGCAATCGGATTGTTATGCTAAAAGAAAGCGACTTTTTCTATTTTTTTTATTTTTTTCATTTTTTTTTTTCGATTCCCCCTCACGGCGAAACGGTGTATATTAAGCGGTTTCGGCGATAGTGCTTGTAATGTCCATTTACATACAGGGAAGTGGCAGATTCGCGCTCAAAATGCCGTTTGATTAATTTACGAGAGTCGCCGCTTTTTGCGAGGGAATAAAATCTGACTTGTCGCGACGAAGACTTATCACTTCTCGTCCGCCACACACGCGGTGTCTCTCTGGTCCCGACGTTATGTTTCTTCCTGCGCAATTGCGCGCGATTCGCGAGCCAGAAATCGGTGCGCGGCGCCGCCGCGCCGCGACACCGCATAAATCGCACCGGGCCCCCCGACATGAGTGACGTTAACTGCCGCTAACACGCGTGGGTGTGACACGCTCTGTGGACCACACAGTGGCCGTTCCCGGCTTCTCCCTTTCGCCCTGCCTTCGTCTTCTCGTCGGCTCTTTCGCTTCGAGTTGACTCGCTGCTCGACGGCCGCGCCGGCGAGAGCCGGCTGACGCACGGCTAAAGGGATAATTATAGTGCAATTATAATAATTGCATCGTATAATTACCGATAATTACGATTAATAGCGGCGTGTAAAATGATAATTGAATCGTAATCGACATCTTTTAATTTGGAGCCGGTCGCTCCAAGTCGGCTCGTAACTTCGTAAGGGAATCTCCCTCCCCTCCCCTTGAATCCCGCGATGCTCTTTTTAATCCGTCGCTGCCACCTCCTCGTTTTAATGCTGGTAAATTATTTTGATTGCTTACTCAGGACGAATGAATCTTGAGAGCCTCGTAAAATTCGTGCTTGGTTTGATATATTTTTACTCGCGATTATTCCGCCACTATTATTTTACGTTTATTTGCCACCTCCCAGGTTTCGTGCTTTATTTTCATTAGCAAGCTGTAATACATAAAGCAGGGCAATATATAATTTTTAACGTATAATTTCCAACCTTTCCTAATTAATTACGTGCAGTCCGCAAAATATCAATAGTTCAGTCGATCTCTCGTTCCTATTGTCCTCCTAGAGCTTTTTATTTATCGCTAACTCTCCCACATCTTTTGCTTTCGCACTTAACTACTTTTTATTTCATTAATTTTGTGACAATTTGAAAGTATCCTCAGCATGTTCTCTAACCGTCATTTTCATAAATATCTTTAATGATTCTCTCGTGTAACAAACAAACTCTATTTACTGTTTTATCGAGTGTTCACGACACCCAAGCTGAGGAAATATAGAATAACGCAGAAGGGAGCGAAAGTGGAAGTGATAAAGGGCGAGAAAGCTTCGTGAAAGCGCGCGATTTTCGCGCCGTTCAGTCTCTTCTCTCTAGGTGCGGCTTTTCCCCGCGGTTCCTCAACGCGAAAAATTAAAGACGCGAGACGAGGCTGGAAAAGAAATCGCTGACTATTTTCTAGCTGACTATACGACCCTGCTGAAGCTGAAGGCGCCCACGTGGACGCGGCACGATCTCCAGGAGGCGATCGAGGCCGTGGTGACCCAGAAGATGCGCTTCACCCAGGCGTCGACCAAGTACGGCATCCCGAAGGGCACCCTCTACGACAACATCCTCGGCAAGTCCAAGAGGATGATGATCCTCGAGGAGACCGCCCTCGATCCAGGCGAGGAAACGGCGGTGCTCGAGTTCTGTTGCGACATCAGCGTGAGCCCGTACAATCGGCGCACGAAGAAATCCCTGAACGCGATATTGAACTTCGTCGAGCGTCTCAGGCGGAAGCACGACCCCGGCTTCATGTTCACCGGGCTGTCGGGCTTCCGCTGGTGGTGGGCCTTTTGCAAGAAGCACTCGATAGTCTCGCTCTACATCAACGACGAGAACGAGAACGGTGCCGATTCCTCTTAACGTCGCCGGTCCGCTCAATATCGAGATAGTTCACGGGAGAGACATGGTTTTAAAAAGTTCAGATTACGCCTGATCTTCTATTTTCTTAATTTTTCCGTCGCATGCAGATATTCGTTAAACAATCTCGTCTATTTACATCGTGAGTCGGTAAAAATTTGCTTCGTCTCCGAGACAACGGTGAATACTCGATCTTTTTGACGGACGTTGATTCTTATTAAGCAGAATTGCGCGAAAATGTAATCCGAAGTAGGATTCCGCCATGTCTCTCTCTCCTGATTATCACGACTGCGAGAGACTCGTCGGCCGAGAATGCGGCAGTGGTCCCTTTGCCTCGCGGACGAGAATGAAGAAAAATGTGGAAAATTTAATGTCCCAGCGACAACGAATTCATTCAAGCGACATTAAGGCAAAGAGAATATAGTAAGTCGGATTCGAGGCGGCATCGCGGCATGCCGTCGGACGCCGACGCACCATGCAACCTTTATTCGCTTCCCCGGCCGTGATGCACTCGCATTCTCGGACCGTAAAGAGACACGGCGGCGCGTTTTAAGAGAGAGCACTACCATTCGATTATCTTAAGATTAAATACGCCTTTTGCAATCGTCGTCAATTCACACTTCAAAAAACTCTAATTATAAGGATTAAATTAAAGAGAAAAAAAAAACATTTAACGAGAACGATATCTTCCAACACGATATCTCCGAACACGTTTGAACATTTTCACGATCGCTGTCCTTTTCTGTCTTTTTGTTTTTTTTTTCTTTTTCAATCCACTTGTATGATTCCTCCGGAGCATGCGCGCGGTGACCGACAATCGACGCGCAATCCGTAGACTTCAACGCGGAAAATCGCTGCACAAGCAAGGTCGCGAGAAGAATTTGCCTGCTAATTGAAAATCGAACGCCCAGCGTTTGCGTCGCGTGCTCCGGGCAATCGCGCGAAATGATAACGCGGTAAAATCGGAAAAGGGGGGAGGAGTTTTAATCGGCAAAAAATGTCTACGTTCGATTAAATTTAATATCCATCAGAATCAATTGCATCAACGGCGATTAGCGCGGTTATTCCCTCGCGACAATATTCCCCCGATCCTTTCTCCCTCGATTCTCCAACGCTTCTGAAGTAATAGAATTTCCATGACATATCATACAATAAGAGGACTGTTCGTTAATTTATTTGCGGATAACTCGTTTCGCATTGAGAACGCACGCGAGAAATATTTATGCTTAAAAGAGAGGGAGGAAACGGGACGGAAACGCGTTCAACGTTTAAGCTTTTATGAAAATTTTCGCGATTCAGCAACAAAAGTGCGATTTAAAAGCGCAACGTTAATTTGTCACGGGCTCAAAGTAGTCGTACGTTCTTATTAATTTGCGTTTATTTTCTCGTTAATTGCAAAGGTTGTAACAAGAGAAATTCAACGTTAATACCAATTGAAAAGGAACAGCGTCGCGGAATATTTTCGAACGCGTCTCCAATTTCGGGAGCTCCGTGTCGCGAGTCGCATTCTTGCAAATCATACTTGTGAATGACTTGGCGTGTAACGAGTTTAGTGCCCTCCACTCATCTCCGTCTTCCACGTAATTTAATCGACGAACACGAGGCCGAGAGGTATACACCCTTGCCTCTCCTCGCATATATATACCGCACTCTGTACATACTTTACGACGCACGCCGTGTGTGATACGTCTCGAATCGATGGGACCAAATTATCACCGAGATCGTCGCTCACGGTATTGTCGTAATTAGATATTTTTCTACGAGTTTTATTAGCGAGACATTTGTTTAAGTTATTAGCGTTGCCATGTTGTTATGCGCGCGTTGGACTCCACGTCCGTTTTGCTGCCCCGACAATAATTGCGAGATAATTATCTTTATCTTTAGTATATTAGAATCGCGGAGAGAAAAGCGCGCGCGCGCGCTCTCTGTAAGAAAGTACGGCGCGCGTTTCTGTTAACATTCCAAATCTATCTAACGGATAATCGCGTTTATGAAACGAGCACATATCCGTTCCTCGTTAGAGCGAGGCATTGTTTGAGACTGGAGGAAGGATTAGAAAGACGATTTACGAATGTGAGGAGCAAATGAATGAAGGAAGTATGTCGCCTACTTAACCGCGAGTTGATCTAATAGCGCGATAAATATTCCAACAACGAACGAAAATATTTTACAAAACGTAACGTGTGAGACGCAGTAATTAAATTGAAATATTTGTGCAGCTTACGTGCCGCGGTTATTTAACGGGCAACGTAAATAGTACGGGCGTAATGTGCGAAGGAACAGTCTCGGATAAACGTTAACGAAAGTAGAGCAAAGCGGCGGACCGTATAAAAGAGAGCTACATCTAAATATATATCGGTTCAGAATTGAGCCGCACGCGACTCAAGTGTTAAATCGCGATAAGTAACGCGAGATCGTTATTCGGCCTAGCTGATATTAAAAATCGTTTCGTAAAAATAACGCGCGGCGACGTCGCATGTGTGTTTTTACATATACGCATAATCCGTTCTCGCGATTAAACTTATATTATATAAATCGATTCACATTCTAACCGCGAGCTGGAATGCCGTATCCCGATATAGTATAGCGACAAACGGGACAAAACTCCGCGCTCGAAATAGTTGACGCTGAAACTTCAGGGGGCATATCTTCCTCGTGCGTTTAGCTCTCTCTCCGTTTGCGAAAAATCCTCATTCCGCGACGCGTGATACTTGACGACGAGGAGCGATATTAGATTACCTCCACCACCGGAGCGTGTCGCGGAACCGGCGGCGCGGGCGCGGCACGACACTTTTGTCAGCGTCGGACGTTTCGCGGCGGGAGGAGAGAAAAAAAACGACTCAATTACTCGCGCGGGGAACCGGACGGACGTTAACAGGGTACGCTTTGGACGGCTGACTTTTTGCGGCAATTATTGGCCGCGACTGACGTGATACCGCACGTCGCATCGCCGTCGCATCGCGGACAATAAGCGGCTAATATCCAGCAATTATCGATCAACGCGCGGCAATTAATGTCGAGAGCCGGCTTTCCTCGCAGAAAAACATAACGCCGCTAATTTTTCCTCATGTCCGATAAGGATGACTCGAGTCAGATTTGTAAGATAACTCGCTGGAAAAATCCGGTTAGCGAAATCCTCGGGTATTATCGTCGTTTTATGATAAGGAACGACGTACGACGGGCATCGTCGATCGAAATAATTCCGTCCAAACGTACCTTCCGTTAGCGTCGTTAGCGAAGGGCTTCGCGTTATCGTTATCGTATTCGGCGAACTCGCTCGAAGCCCGTGAAGCTCGC